GCCTGAACTCGATCAACTAGTAACTCCGAAGGAGACAAACTAATGGGATAGGTCATGGCGGTCGTGGAAGTCGTGGCAGTCGTGGCAGTGGTGGAGGTCGTGGCGGTCGTGGCAGTAGTGGAATCGGTAGTGGAGGTCGTGGAGCTCGTGGAGCTCGTGGAGCTCGTGGAGCTTGTGGAGGTCGTGGAGGTCGTGGAGGTCGTGGAGGTCGTGGAGGTCGTGGAGGTCGTGGAGGTTGTGGAGGTCGTGTTGGAGGTGATAGCAGCAGAGGTTCAAGTGATCGGGAATCCAGTGACCATGAAGAACATTCCGATTCCGATGAGATTGCATTCACTTTGGAGAACTATGAAAGCCAAATGTCGTCTTGGATCGATAAACAACTTCGTGATGTCTTAGGAAAGCAAACTCGAACTTCTAACCGGATTCCTACTGAAGTACAAGAAGCACTGTTATTCCACAAAAAGAACTACTGTAAGATTAAGTTGATGCTGGCGCTGATTGGGAATGTTTCTGAAAAGAGTGTCAACTCTTGGTTGTAAGTTTTATCTTTATTTTCAACTTATCAAGAAAGCTGACAACCGGATTGAATCTACTCAGGGGAGAAGATCAACCACCAAGAAGAAAGAGCAATTGGAATCGGTATGTAGCTTTCAGCATGGAAAGCTCAATTACACCAGGTGAGATTACTAGTACATCATCATATTTTGAATGTTTTCACTGACCAATATCTTCCTGATTCTCAATTTCTAGTTCCTCCAAGGGATGGGAAGAAAGAAATGTCCACCTTGGCCAGGCATGGGCTGCCCTCTCCGACAATGAAAAAAATGTTTTCGATGAAAAGATTTTTCGCTTCTCTTCAAAACTACCTACTTCCCTGGACAACCATGATACCGAGGAAGAAGAAGAAGAAGAATCTCTTACTCCTGAGGAAGAGGCCCTCTATCGACCTCTTTATCAAAGATTGGTTAATCATGAAAAGGTCAAGTTCTTGGCAGGTAATTCTCAAGCTCCTGATAATACGTCGGTGGTTTCACAAAGAGCACTCACCAACAGGCCTGCCAAACGACCAAAACATGCTGATACTGTAAGAACTCAGTTGCGTCAGGAGCTCAATAAATTACTATGTGGGTACTGTCATTTATAAGGTATGAGTTGAATTGATTTATCATGGTTAATAATTTCCTTTTCTTAGGTCTTGCACTCGGAGTTGAATACGATCCTTCTCTCAAGAAAAAGGGTCCAGTTTTCCCCAAACAAAAGGATCCGGTGACTCTTCTGGAGAAGGAACATCCGGCTGTTAAGATAGTCCAGTTAGAGAATTCAACTCTGAAGGTTGATGAGTTAGCAATTGGGTTAGAATATATGCGTAATCCTGTACGGGAAAAGTGGCTTGATGATATTAAGAATGGTGTTTTTACCCTTGTTTCAGACACCTCTGAATAAACATAGTCTTATTATATTTTTCCCGTCTTTTTTCAAGGTAGTTGAGAACTTATCAAAAGGAAATTCTTCAAGGGCAGTCTTAAATAGGTTTATGTATTTCACATTGCTATTTGATTTCTTTTAAGAGGAATTCAGACTGATTTCCAAAGAATTGTCACTACAAATCCTTTAATTAAAAACTACCAACTACTGTTTATTTCTTTCATTTGATGAGTTGTTTTCTTCTTAAGAAAAATCCAACAGATTGGCACACAAAGATAAGATGAACAGAGATATGTAGACACCAATAAATAAAAGCTAGTTTTCGGTTTTTTGTCTCTTTTTGGATTCTTTCTTGGCTTCTTTCTTGGCAATTTTCACTTCAGCTTTGAGAAGATCTGAAGTAATTTTAGGGTTGTATTCAGGATAAAGTGGGAGCCAATATTTATCATCGCTAAACTTCTGTTGGTCCAAGACAAAATATGGTCAGTTTAGTACATACATGATTAAATATCTAGATTGATCATACCTCATTTCCATTGTCATGTGCGGAAAATCGAGCAATTTCAGAAAAAGAGGAGGCTCGGCTCCACATGGCAACTGAATATCGTCTTGGGTCTGTAATGTCTTCTGTGAAGTGGAACTGGGAAACACCATGGAAGAGAATGCGAAATGGACCGTGAAAGGAATAGCCGTGCAAGCCTGGATATGCAACACCAAGCCCAGGGAGAAGGAAATGTCCACCGATATGATTTCCAAAGAAGAATACACTATCCATCAACAGGGCATTGTTTCGGTCTCTATGTGTGTTTGGATGGGTATTGACTGTGATGGTTCGGGCTTTTCAATGCTCAATTCAAAGTCAGAATTATATTCAGGTCAAATAGATATTCTTCTTATACTTACCTGCAATGATTATATTTTTTTCTACCTGAATAGACTCTTTCACCGCGGTTGATGCCTTCTTTTCCAAGTACTTCACTGCGCTTTCTGCAATGGAAGATGCATCTGGTAAAAATACTTTATTTATCCAGTAAGATATCCTATGGTAGAAGACCATGTCATGTCGAAGTTCCACCAGGCCTCGCATTGTAGGACCAGGGTCAGATCTGAGTGGTTCTGGAAGATTGGGCTTAGGATCGGATTTCCAATGGTCCCCGTGGCCTTGTAGGTCGATTTTCTTGATGCTATTGGTGGCAAACTTGATTGTTTTGTCTGCAGCTCCAGCCGAAAGCGGCTTGTGGAAAGTAAGTGGTTCAGTGCAAATTCAAAGTCAGTATTGCTTTGGAATCGAAAAAACACTAAAGAAGCATTTCTCACACTGCCCAACCCAAATCCATATGCTTGGAAAGAGCAAGTTGATTTCTTGGCTTCCGGCCTGGCTCTTATCTCCCCTTTGTTCTTGGTGGAAAGTGGGAACTGGGAAGTCGGAAACTGATTAGACATTTCGCCAGATTGGATCATTGGAGCCTCCACGCTTTGAAGAACATTATCATTAACAAATTGATCTAGTCTATCTGTTGCCCGGCGCTAATCATACACCAAGGTGAGTCTGGATTCTCCAAAGACATTTTTCCAAAAGATTACTTACATCTCGAGGGGTATGTATGCTCTGGGTGGATTGGGGCTTTGGAGGAAGTCCAACTCCAACACATACACCCCCCTCATCAATCAGAATAACCATTTTATCATTTGGTAATACCTCACATTTATCCTGCAACTCCATACAATGCTTAAGAACATCACTGTAAGTTGGGAACCTGAGGCAAAATGGCTTCTGCATGTGAGGTTGCTGTTCGTAGTTTTGGATCCTTTGGTTGACTAATTTTGCTGCATTGACCAACTGCTGTTGGAGGGTGTTTTTTGGTGGGTATTCTTCATTGAAAGTGGTGCCGATCATAGTAATTATTTGTTGAATGGTATCTTCGGCTCGAAATTCTTGCATTAAGAAGACTGCGTGAAGATCGAAGTCAACCACCCGCTGGTATGACTGTTGGTGCTGAGAATTTAAGAAGTTGATGGCCTGGGAGTTCAAGCTTCGGTCGCCGTCGTAATCAGATCCTCTCTTGAGGCCAGCAACACTGAATACCTCCGTCCCATCCATCTTAACACAAAACAAATATGGGTTAGCCCACCATATGTTGAGTGATTGTCTGGCCAGGAATTAATGGGGCCAAGTCTTCGCGCCAAGGCCACATCAATCCCACAATGTGATGCCTGCTGAGCTTCACGCTCAGCAAGCATCACACAGCAGCCATGCAATCCCAGCAATCACATGAAGAAAAAATATGCTGATTAGGAAGAGCACTTACTTGTGAGTGAGTACAGATTCTTGATTGCAGTATTGTTTCACTGTTATGCAAAAAGGGAATCACCATTGGTCAGCATTCATGAGATTATGTCAATAACAATTTGTGAAAGGGAGGGGTATAAATGTCTCGCAATAGAAAGATTTTGGTTAGCAGGAGTTTTTGGAGGTTGATGGGCCAAGAGTCTGGCCAAGTCGGGGGTCCGGCTGTATCAAGAAGATTGTCAATGGCAGTATAGAGTACGTAAACAATCAAAGGGCTGTAGGCCTTTTTTCTCTGTTTTGAAGAGGATTGGAGAGACTGATCGGACAAGCATATATCAACTGATTAACGACTTGTCAAGGTGCTGAAAGCTTGAGCAGTTAGAATGCGCGCACTTGGTTTTTACTCAACGGAAGGATTTCGATAAGTCTGGAAGGCTGGTCAGAAGTGACCTTTTGGTGACGGTGGAACTATCTGTAAGCAGCAATACAACGATTTCTTTCAACAGCGCCTAGTAAGACTTCTTCTAATAGTTCGACGGTGCCCATATGAGTGGCGAAACGGGCACAGAAGAACAAGGCGTTGGCTGGGACGGAGTGGTCGGATCTAGCTTGCCGAGGTTTGATTGTCTTGATCACTGCCTCGAAGACCCCCTCAAGTTCTTCAAGTGAGCAGACTAGCATCTGATCCGGTTGACAGCGTTCCCACTCGAATTCTTCGGCCCATTGCTCCTGCTCCCATTCGTCATGAAAACTGGCCATGAGACCACTGATGATCGCTTGGTTTTGTGTATGAAGGTTTGAGGGGAATCCGATTGGTTGGTTCTGATTTGATTCAGGCTCTAGTCCTAATAGGCTCGGCTGAATATTGAGTGTTTTTGAGGATAGTCTGGCTAGTTGGATGATCTTCTTGGCTTCAGATTTAGCCAGGTCAGCCTCGGATTGAGCTTCGGCGAGTCTGAGACTACGAACTGAGGCTTGGGAGGGCCAACAAGAGTGAGGGGGGATGGTAGAGGATTTAGCTTGTTCGGTGATCCTGATGATCTCGCGGATGGTCTCTCCCTGTTTGTCCCTCTTGGTCGATTGTTGTGGGGTTAGATTTCAGAGTCGGGTCGAGGTCTAGGACTGGGGCGCGTTCATGACGTTGAGGAGCATTGTTGCTCTCAAGATGTTCTTCTTCTTCCAGTCCCAGGTGCTGGTGCGACGGGTGGTGGCAACGTCGTTGTCGTCGTCTTTGTCACCGCCGAGGCCTAGTTGTTCGAGAATGCTCGCTTGATCGTTCTCCTCTGGTTCCATGGCATTGCTAGTTCAAATGCTAACGACTGGCGATGGTTACTGCTGGTGCCATGATTTTCGACTCCATTGATCCCTCCAATTGTGCTTCCTTTCATCTTTTGACCGATGGAGGAGTGTGGTGATGGATCGATTCCCATCTTCTCTCAGTAGGTGTTTTTATTCGTTCTGAGATTCCACAGGCCAATAAGATCATCGAGTTCGATAGGGCAAGAGCGTTGTTGGCCGAAAGATGTCAATGCACGCTTGGGAAGCTAAAATGAATAACAATCGAGTTAGAAATAAAAAAAAAACACCCACCATGCGAGATCTCTTAATCTGATGTCCTTTGGGATGATTTCGCCAGACTGATCCGGGCCAAGAGCCTTGTAAAAGAATGGGATGATTCTACTCGGCCCTAGACTATCATAAAAAGCTTTGGACAGGAAGAAGTCTTCCGTGGTTGAATGTGTCTCCTTGCGAGCAGATTGCAATAGATGGTCTTGACTAGATATTTGTCCAGAGAGGTTGTGCCCTACTGGGTACTTCCTTTCTGACTATTTTTTGAGCCTGGATCAATGATGGAACGATCAGCGATCTTTTCTTCTTCTTTTTTGCGACAAGTATTAAAAATTTCGCGCTGCTTACCGCTTGACCGTCTACGGTGGCCAGGAAGGTGTGTAGTGCGTAGACGAGCGTGAAGTCAATGTCGTCTGAGCGCGTGTGTCAAGAACGTAAAAGGTTGGTTGGCTGAATGATCGGCGTGGTTTCGCAGAGCCTGGCCAGTAAGCTGAGCAAGACGGGTGGTGGTGGGAGGTTGATCAAGATATAGATATGCACGTTCTTCGGGGGATCCACCGGCAGTCAGATAGTAGAAGATGTGAAAGTTACATTCACCACTCAGGCTACTGACCCCACAGAGCTTGCTGTTATCG